ATTCAGATTCATCCTGTAGGCTTTCAGTACGTTAAAGGTCTCTTGCAGATGCGTTACATGGTCTGCTGTAACCATACTCTTTTCCAACAGATCATCTTTATAGACCTCCATAGTTTTCCCAATCTGAGCCTCGAACACCTAGTTCATGAGGCACTAGTACGTGGCTCTAGCATTCTTGAGCTCCGAAAGGCATCACTTTGTAGCAGTAAGTACCTCTCAGGGTGATAAATGAGATTTTCTCCTGATCTGGAGGGAACATGTTAATTTGGTTGTACCTAGAGTAGACGTCTAGAAAATTCAGGAGCTCGTGTCCAGCTATGGCGTCAATGAGGAGGTCGATGCATGAGAATGGGTAGTTGTCTTTGAGACAAGCTTTGTTGAGCTCGGTGAAGTCCATGCATAAGTGCCGCTTCTTATTAGCCTTTGTCACCATTACCACAGTGGATAGTCAGTCTAGGTAGGCTACCTCCCTCACTGACCCATTCGTTAGTAGTTTATCTATCTCCTTCTCCATGGCCAGTCCTCTCTTAGTACTTACATTCCTCAGTTTCTGGCGGATGAGCTTGTACCTGTGATCAATGTTGAGTTGGTGGGAGGCCACCTCGGGGTTGATGCCCTCCAGGTCCTCGTGCGACTAGGTGAAGACATCTGTGTTCTGCCTAAGGAAGTCTACCAAGGCGGTGGCCTGCTCTTGGGAGAGTGAGGAGCCTATGTAAACCTTCCTCTCTGGAAGGTTGTCATCTACTTCTATAGGGCTGAGTTCTTCTGCTAGTTCCCCCCTCTCCAAGGTAGTGTCATCCCTTGGGTCAAGTACTTTGACCTGGAGAGTCTCGTGTGGTCTCCTAGTCCTCATAGAGGCCACATAGCACTCTCGGGCAGAGACTTAGTCTCCCCTGATCTCTCTAATCCCATTAGTGGTTAGAAAATGGAGGAGAAGATGGTAGGTGGATGGCATTGCCCCTAGGGTGTTAAGGGCAGGGCATCCAAGGATTATATTGTAAGCGGAAGGACAGTCAAATACAATGAAATTTACCATGATTATGGAGCTCCTCAGTGCAGTTCCTGCTATGACAAACAGGCTGATAGACCCGAAGGGGTAAACTCTCTCTCTAGAGAAGCCAACCAAGGGAGTCCAGATAAGCTGAAGTCTCTCCCTGTTGAAGTGAAGGCTGTCGCGAATAGAATGTCAGCTAAGCTGCCGCTGTCGACCAAGATCTTCTTAACCTGATAGTTAGCTACCATCACGGTCAAGACTAGAGGGTCATCATGTGGGACTTGGACCCCTCAAGGTCTCTGTCTGAGAAGGTGATGACCTTCTCCTCCCCATGTCGGAATGTCTTCTTTGGGCGAGAGTTATATGACTCTGTCAGATTGACTCTCCGACGTGTGTGTCTTTCTGGCGGAGTTGGAGTCACCTACTCTTCCTAACCCTTCAACGATAGTCTGAATCTCACCGAGGGGCTGCTGGAGTTCTCATTTCTCTTGTGATGGAGCTGGTCCTCAGCCAACAACATACTATCTCAGTTGGCCATGCTGCATAAGCTCTTCGATATGCCTCTTTAGCTGGAAACAGTCATCCGTGTCATAACCACGGTCGCTGTGGAAATCGCAATCTTGCTTGATGGTGAGCAGGTGAGTCACAGGCTTCTGATGTCGACATCCCCCAATGAAGTGGGAGACGAAGGATCTACTCAGTTGTGCAAAGGAGTGGATGGAGATGGGTTTGATCTTTGTGAACCATTGGCGAGCAGACTCCTTCAAGGTGGTAGGGAAGGCTCTACACATAATCTCCTTAGATACATTGTGGAGTTGCATGAGAGATTTATATGTGTCAAGATGGTCGATGGGGTCTTTGGTACCATCGAAAATCTCGATGGTAGGTATCTTGAACTTCGAGGGTAAATGATAATTGACTATGTCTACAACAAAAGGTGTATCAGTACGTCTTACCAAGTAATCCACCGTCTTGGGCGCCTGAGCTTTGATGGCGTTGAGGGCATCATCGAGTTGGTTTTACACCTCTCTAATCTTCTTGTCTCATTAATTGGGGACATCCTCAATTGGGTGGTGGTACTGGCTTCCATGATCGCCATATTAGCTCTCTCATTCGTCCTCCTACACAGGTATATGAGGAAGGGGAACACGTGAACTCCCTGCGCGGTGAGGAGGGACTATTAGGCGAGGGCACCCGGGTGTAGCCCTGGGGCGTTCTAACGAGGGGCCCTATGGTGAAGGGCTGCCTAGCGCCTAGAAGGGATGGGTTACTACTCCTCTCCTATTAGAGGGAGTGAGGCTCCTCCTACAGGGTGAGAGGCGACACCTCACTAAGCAAGCATCAGCTGAATGATCTGCTAATTTTGGTTCACAGTAGCTACATAGTCTATAAGAGCTACTACCTGACGACAGGGGTCGCCGTAGCGGATGGTTTTGAGGGTGCGAGGGGAGACGGGGCCTCCTCCTAGTGGGTTAGGTTGTTGTCTCCCGATTGCTGACTCATAGATCTTGTCATGATTACCATGGATTAAAGAAAGTAGAAAACCTAGCCGTTTCCCACATATGACGTCAAACTGATGATGCACAAATTGGTATTACGTAAGATCAACAATCGAGTATATATAAGAGTGTAATTAATGAGCAATAAATAAGATAATCAATGGCGAAACAGTAAATAAAAGCAAACACGCAAATTTATAGTAGTTCGTCTGGGTGACCTACTCCACTCTCGGGAAACGACAGCGGTGGTAGGGGTGTTTATTGATGAATAAAGTCATCGGGAGAGTTAAAATGCTTTGGGAGAGAGAAACTTTATTTGTAGAGAAGTGTAGAGATGTGATGTGGTGTGTAGAGGTCTCAAAGGTGATGCCCCTCCATGTGGAGAGGGCTTACATTATATAGGTTTGGTGAGACGATGGGGCGGTGACGTGAGGGAGAGAGCACTTCTATTTTGATAAGTACAATTAAGGTAGGATTGGATTTTCATGAGTGCATATTTCGATAGTTTCTCCCACGTGCTCTATCTCTTCGGGGTCTTGGGATCCTGAACTGGGTCGGACTGACAAAATGGGCCTGAGCCACCATTTAGTTGACATAGACCTTCTTGATTTATTAGGCCTCGCCCAGTTAATTTTGGGCTCATTAGAAATCATATGATAAGAGTTGCATGTTAAGCTAAATTGTAATGAGGTTTAACTGTTAATCATGGATTTATATCTCATTATTGAACTCTAAAATTTGTGGTCTTTTTAATATGTAGGGCTTAAAGCCCATGCTTTTTTGAATATACCGTTGAGCCGGCCATGCAGCCACACAATGTTTGTTTATTTTTTAGATTAATTGTTGCAATCTGGTGAAATTAGTGCGATTGGATGTGAAATTATTGTAAATTGGTTTGAATTTTTTGTTGAAACTTATTTAACTCTGAGGCGAACCATGGTTGGAACAAGTTAGATGGTGCTACACACTGTATTTTTGTTTTGCCTCAATGTGTTCATCATTTTCAATTTTCTAGAATGGTAGGCCATTCAATGATTAGTCGCTGCAAAATGTAGGGTTGTTGATTTGTTCTTGGGTTGGTTTTGTTAGTGTATTTTTGTGAATAGATGGTGGAATATGTATAGAAGTCTTGGCAGTGGAACAAGATAAGAGCAAGATATCCTATTTAGGGTAATTTTTTTTTCCTTTTACTTTTTGATTTTGCTAGAATTAAAGTGTTTTTCTTTTTCGTCTGAGGCAATTAAAGTGTTTTTCTATTACGTTTGAGGCTTGCCAACCCATTGAATTGATCCCTCTGTTGAAGACTCTCATCATAAATGCTTTTGAATTTGTTAAAGTTTTAATGCTTTCAATTCTTCCTCCAACTATTGTTGTTTTTTCGATTTTTACTTGGTATTCTATTGGAACTAGCCAGTTTTTTGAATTTTCGTATTTAGGTGTCGAAAAAGGAAGAATTCAAGTTTTCATGAAAATTTGTTTGAAAATCATAATATTGTTTGATTTGGTAAATGCAAATAAAATACCGATATATTTGGGCATCGAGGAGGGGTTTTAGGTTTTTAAAATTGGTGGTTGTGGCATAGAAGAAAGAAAGAATGAAAATTTTTTCCTCCAAAATTTCAGGAGTAATATATGTTACATTTTTTCTCCAAAATCTTGCAAAATTGTTGGCAGTAATGGTTGGCAAAACGAGGAAGGATTTTGGGGATATTAGTTTAACTGCTTAAATATGGGGTTTAGTGAATTTTCAGGGGAACAACACTGGTAAGTCGGGGTGGATAAGACAATGATCATTTTACATTCTCTCTCATTAATGCATAATTTTGGGTAATCCAGCAATGTGGTGTAATGGTAAAGTCTCGGAAGGATCCTATCCTAAAGATTAGGATTCTATTCAAATTTCTGTTGTTTCAGATTTATGTAATTATGCCAGCAAAAGGGGTAAGGCTAATAATATTCCTCGCCTAACTAGGATTTCAAATAGTTTTTGAATACAAATTTCACCAAACATAGTCATGGTTTGGTTTAAAAAAGTAATAATCTGGTACTCATGGGCGCGGATTTGGTAACTCCATTTTTAATCAGCCCATTTTATTTTCGCTTTTTCATTGTTGTTTTTCAGTCTTTCTAGTTGTTGTGTTGTTAAAGTCTCTTACGATAGTGAATGCTAAGTTCTTATATCAAGTTTAATTGAGTATTCAAAAAGTACGAGGCGAAATTATAATTATAATTTTTAGTGTTTTTTAGGTATTTAGTATTTTGGATACATTAAAGGTGATAAAAGTTTTTAGTGTTTAATTTTTTTATTATATAGTGTCTTTAGGCATGTAAAATTACTAGTAAAATAATTGGTCTTATTTAATATATCCGCCTCAAGAAGACTCTAATGTTTTAGTATCAAAATTCAAATTATATAAGTCGTATGCCATTTTTATTATGTTTAAGTTTAATACGAAAAAAAGGCATCTAAAAGACAAAAATGACCTCACCTCTCTGTGTGTGCGTGCCTTGTGTCGAACATCTCACGAACGACCACCCACCTCCTCTTTCTGTCGACGGAGGTCACCCATTCAGTCCGTGGTGTGTTCGAACAAGACTGATAACGACAAAGGTCACTGGCTCACTCCAACCTTTAAAACGATTTGCGGGAAGAAGATACGGCTTTGGTTGGCAAAATCGAAGGTATAGCCCATTGTTGCCTCTGTGTTCTGCCATGTGCAGTCATGGGCAATGTCTGGCTCGCCGCAATTAAGGCTGTGTAACGTTCTGGGTCTGTGTGGCTGCAGGTGAAGTTGCTACTTGCTAAGATAATTGATGAATGAAATTGGTTTAAACGTCTATCAATTCATGAAGTGTTCATTATAGTCACCTAGCAACCAAATCCCAAATCTTTGCCACCGAATCCAAGGTATAACCAAAGTCCTTTGCATAATCCAAGGCCGACGAAATCTTTGACACCGAATCGTTGTCGTTTCGATTTCTTTTTCTGTTTTTGCATTTTTAATTCGTTTTCGTTGCAGTTGTCCGAAGTGTTTCCTTTTTTTTTTTTCATTTTCGTTTTCATTTCAATTTCGATTATGCTTTTCCTTTCTCGGTTTACAGTGATAAAAATTGGAATTGGATCTGGGAATAGAAAATTTGAGGATTGTTGAGGTTGAACTAAATGTAATTGAGAGCGTGGCAGTGAAGTTGTGCAAATATGGCAGCACAGTGGTGGTGGCATTACTGTGTTCGCTACCATGTTGGCTCCCTTTGTTTGGTTTCATATTGGTTTAGGTGTCTGTATTGTGTCGTGGGGTTTGTTTGAGAAGGAGAGTCAGAAGTGCAATTACTATGGCTTGCTATGTGAATTAAGAATTCTGCCACATTATTTAGCTGCTATAAAGCAAACTCCTGTATTTTAGGTTTTGCTTGATGTAAATACTTTTCTGCTGCTCCTGCTCATGTTTATCCCTATTCTAATCAGTTTACATAATCACAGTTATTTTGAAGCTACTGTTTTTACATCAATATCCTTGAAGAAGAGGATTGAAATTTATTTGACAGTTGATGTGCACTTTTGCAGGTTTGCGTTTCCATATTGGATATATCTGGAGTACAAGTGAAGAATGATTACTAGATTACCAACTAGGTTATTGAATATATGTATAGCTTGTTTTTGTAAAGCTCAACAATTGGAGAAAGCGGAAGCCGTTATAATTGATGCAATAAGACTAGGAGTATTACCAGATGTGGTTACTTACAATACACTGGTTTCTACCTATTGTCGTCTTGTTGGCATTGATGCGGCCTATTCAATTCTTTATAGAATGAGAGAAGCTGGGATAAACCCAGATGTTATTACATATAATTCCTTGATAGCTGGTGCTGCCAAGCATTGCTCATTATCGAGATCTCTGGATCTGTTTGATGAAATGCTTCAAATGGGCATTCCTCCTGATGTCTGGAGTTACAATACTTTAATGCATTGCTTTTTTAAAGTAGGAAAGCCAGATGAGGCAAACAGGGTTTTCCGGGATATTATTTTGAGCAATCTTTCTCCCTGTGCGGCTACATATAACATTGTGATTAATGGACTTTGTAAAAATGGGTATACCGGTAATGCCTTCATGTTATTCAGGAATTTGCAACATCATGGATTTATTCCTCAATTAGTGACATACAATATTCTTATTAATGGGCTTTGCAAGTCGGGCAGGTTGGGGGCAGCAAGAAGGATTCTGAAAGAGCTTGGGGAATCAGGTAATGTGCCAAATGCCATTTCTTATACTACGGTGATGAAATGCTGCTTTAGATCTAGGAAGTTTGAACAAGGGCTTGAGATCTTCGCTGAGATGAAGAGCAAAGGATATACATTTGATGCCTTCACATACTGTACAGCTATTGGTGCTTTAGTTAAAATTGGTAGAATAAAGGAGGCAAATGAATGCATAGAGCAGATGGTTAAGAATGGCATAGAGCTTGATATAGTGTCTTATAACACACTGATTAATTTGTATTGTAAGGAAGGTAAGTTTGAAGATGCATATATGTTGCTGGATGAGATAGAAAAAGGTGGGTTAGAATGTGACAAATATACCCACACAATTCTAATTGATGGATTGTGCAAAGCGGGTAATATTGATGGGGCTTTGCAACATTTGAAGTGTATGGATAGATTGGATTCAAACTTGGTTGCTTATAATTGCTTTATTGATGGGCTGTGTAAATCTGGTCATATTGATTACGCAATGAGGGTTTTTGAATCAATGGAGGTGAAGGATTCTTTTACCTACACCTCCTTGGTGCACAATCTTTGCAAGGTAAGAAGATTCCACTCTGCATCTAAGCTCCTTCTATCTTGTATAAGAGGTGGCATGAAAATACTTAAGTCGACCCAACGGGCTGTTCTTCGTGGTCTTCGTTCTTCAGGATTTTCAAGACAAGCAAAGAGACTCAAGTCGAAAATTCGATTGGCTAAGATTTTGCATTGTTGATTTGGTTATGACGTTTTGACTACATAGAATTGGGAACAACTTTCTACTTTATTTAGCATAATTTGAAGGACCCTTCATAAATGAAGGTCAATAGATATGATCCACCTTCTTGTTGTACAGTTCAGTTGAGTTGGGGAATCCTTGTACAATGTTGCAGACTGATATTTTGGGACAGGGGTGGTGAAAGGCATTAAGGATGCACTAACATATTGAGGGGTGGAATTAGGGGACCCAGTGACCAGTATGCATGAAAGACTAAGCTCATCCTGTGGTGTGTCTTAGAATATCTGTCACATTGGGATGATCGGCGAGATTATGTGCAATAAATTTCAGCCACATCAGCTTATTTAGTAATGATTTGTGGAGTTCATCTAATATCTCAAGTAAACCTATCTTTCTTTCTCAAAAATTCTACTAGAACACAATTGTCATCTTGAATGTTTGAATATTTTTTCTTGTCTTAATTGTTGAAATATCTCATTTATTTTTGTTGTAATTGTTGAAATATCTCATTTACAAGTTTTCATACTCATTAGAAGTTATTTGAATAACTTGAACCAAGCAATGCCTTTGAGATGGAAAGATTTATTTATATAATGGTGTTTATCAGACAGTAATTTATTTATCCAGTTTTGTCAAATTCTCAAGGTGACTCATAAACTGATGGAGGGTTTGGCTCGTAGAAATACAATGAGTAGGGCAGACATTTGCATACATCTAGTGTGTAAGGCTATTAAATTTTCCATGCCTCAGTAACTTTGTGTGGAGTTTGATTGTTCAAGGAATACTGTTGGATTTCATTGAAATACCATGCCCGTCATGCTCTCTAGCCTGTAATTGATAGGTGTCCTATCAACTAGTGCTTCAAATATGATCAAAGTTAGCTATTAAATGTGGATGACAATATTAACTTGAAATTGGTGAGTATGATGTGCACTAGAAGAGGTATATGCTCTTTAAATTTCTAGTGAATTGGAAATTGATAGATTTTCCCATCAAATAATGCCTCAAATATGGTCATAGTAAGCTTTAAAATTTGAATGAATCGATGAATGGATATTTGCACTGAAAGAAGTATGGGTTGCAAAGGTGGGTTTTGAGAAATATTGACCCCATACAAAATTATTGAAGAGTGAAACGTTATCAGTCTTACAATAGGTGTAAACAGATGCCTCGCCATGCGTACATATATGTCCTTAACATCTCCTTGAAGAACAAGAAGATGAAGAGGGAATAATCTTTGGATAAGTTTGTGAAAATATATGGAGATATATGCATGGGAAGATATCATTGTTCCATTTTTTTAGCTTGCTATAAAGGTTTCCCCCTTTAAGTACAACCTATGCTAGGACAATCCATGTAGGGCTTTTCCAGAAGAGCTTTTCAGTTAACTTAGGAAAGTTTTCTATGGTACTTGTATGTTTGCTCTACCTCTTTGAGAGAATTTGTTTGTTTCACTCTATTCTGTTTATGCCGTTTATGATTGTTGCTTTTAGATACAGGCTTGTTACGAAGATCACCTTAAGGGAAGGAAAAAAAGTCAACATACTTATTGAAGTGCTAATTGCTAGTTAATGACTTCCTCAAAGTACGTTAGAGTGTTGGAAAATCAAAGTTAATAATTGTTCCAAAATTTGTCATGTTGAGGGATCATACAACAATAACTTGCTAACATGCTGTGAAACAATTAATAATGTTCAAATTGGTCAGAGTGGTTTCATTCAGATCTTAAAAAAAATAATTGCTCATTTTTCTAACCTAATGACCAATTGGTATAAAGCAAAAGTGGACTCTACTGCAATTCATTAGTTCTTGCATCATTGACAAAGAACTGACCTGACCACGTGTCTTTGCATTATGTTAGAGTGGTGCATTAGCTTTGAGATCAATTGATTGTTTTTACTGCTGTTTTGCATTATTAATGGCTATAAACTGCTTTTATGACTCACCAATTATTGCTCTAAGCAATTGTTTGAAAATCTAGTAAGCTATCATTTGCTTTGTGTTTTTTCTAGTGGTTTTACAGGCAAATGCCAAGCAGAATTTTGATGAAATTCTTGAAGCACATGTAAAATTGACTTCTGAACTACGTCCAACTGATCTGGTGTGTGCCTTTTTCTTTTGTTGTTTTTCCACATTTGTCAAGCATCTTTCTGGCCATGCAACTAAAATATTGCTTGTAATCATTTTAATGCTCATACAATTGTTATACCTTTAAGTGATGTATGCAAATACTGAATTGGTTTGACCATGGTTTTACTTGAAGATGACTTGATATAGGCTGCAGAATAATTTTCAACTTATGTTGTAGCATCCTGGTGCCTTTCCATTGAAGGGCATCACAGTAGCACTCGGGGTGCCTTTCTGTGATTCAAAATTAGTTCATTATGATCTAACCGTTGGCAGTGAGCTCCTAACACTAACTTGTAAGCAGTAAAATTGCTGTGTCTTCATCTGGATCTTGGTTATTGTGAGGGCATTTGCACTTGGACTCTCGGGCTGTCCAGATGGACTGTTGCTACGAATCGTTTATTTAGTGTCTCTGTTTGATGATCATTGAGTAGTTCTAGTAACTATGTGTTCGTCTAACCATGCTTCACATGAGATTCTTGAGTAACTGTGTTTACGGACTGTAATTGAGCATAGATTTCCCAATGGTGCTAGTGAAACTTTATAATCTTCATTGAACTCGTTCATGAGAACTTCTCACTAGTGTTGTTGTTAAGATTGAAAGGATTGGCTCCTCTTTTATCTGTACCATATTTGTTTCTTCTTTTTCTTTTTCTTTGAAACAATGAAAGACATCTTATTCTTGTAACAAGGAAAAGAAATAATGTGAAGAGAATTCAGATAAGTAGATAAAAGAGGTAGGTGGAAACAATAGAGAATTCAGATGTAGGGCTGAAAAAGAACAAAGCTGCAAGTCTTGGAAAAGCAAAAAAAAGCATGAACCATAAGAATTTTGAAAAATATTATGTGAATTGGATGTCCTCAATCTTAAAATTCTTTTTCGATCTCTTGAATGTAATGCATTGGAATCATTTATAAACTAGACAACTTAAACCACACAAAATTATCAAGAATTGTTGTCACGAAGAACCAATATCTCCTAGTTCTCTACATTGCAAGTTGTACTTCTAGTTGAAACTTGAATAATTGTATGTTAGGGTTAAAGAAAAGAAAGAGAAGAAAAAGGGAGAAAGAAAGAGTATGAAATAATATTCTGTGTTAGGTGTATGTTACCAACACCCTATCACTTATTTACATTAAATTGATATTGAAGGCAATTACAATATTAATAAAGTAGAACAATAGGAAAGTAATACTCTAACACATAACTGGAAGTAGAACAATAGGAAAGTAACACTATAACAATTCCTCTCAAGCTAGAGTATAGAGATAAAAAATGCCCAGCTTAGAATAAAAACTTATAAGGGTCGAACATGCTAGTGGTTTTGGGAGAAAATCACCGAGTTGACCGCAATATCTCTACGCGGAGAATAAGGATGATAAAATAAAGTTCTGGCTGCTTCAGACCATTCAGAGACTTCTTCGATTGGCACACATTACCACGATATTGTCCTTGAATGACAAATCCAAGTGGTTGCTCCATGTGAAGTCTAAGACATTCCTTTGATGTTTTAGTGAAGCAATTTACCACTACTCCAAAACAAGTAATAAGTAAATGACGATCATGACAATACTGAAGAAAAAAACAGATGACGTCAAAAGACAAACACAATTGTTGAGTGAGTGTAGAAACGGTTGGATGGATGAAATAACAATTGTTTGTCTAGGGGTGGGAAGCTTACTTTGATCCAAGTGGTTTTGGGTAGTATTCCTATTTATTTTATGTCAATTTTCAAGATTCCCAAACAAGTGCCTAAACTTTTGGAGAACATGATGAGATTTTTTATATAAAGATGGTGGGTATGGAAAGAAAGATCATCTTGTTAGGTGGGACGTTGTGTCAGTCTAAAACAAAATGGGGGTTGACTATAGGCAACTTCACTATAAGGAATGCGACATTGTTGGGGAAGTGGCTTTGGATGTTTCTAGTAGAGTCTGATTCTTTATGACATTCTATTATCAAGAGTAAGTATGGAATCCATTCCAATGGATGTGACTCCAATGTGGTGTGTCAAGGCTCCTTTCGTAATCCTTGGAAATTTATTTCTCATGGTTTAGATGATTTTAAAAGACATGTTACTTTGAGGATGGAGAGTGGGGGAAAGAGTTCGATTTTGGGAGGATATTTGGATTGGTGAGTTATCCTTAGCTTTATGGTTTCCTCGTCTGTCAAAGTCTCATACTACTTTAGTAGCTAGGGTGTCTTGTATTTTTTTTTATTTTCATGGGGGATGGAATTTGAATTTCTTCCATAGTCTAAATAATCGGAAATCCTGGAGTATTTTGGTCTTCTTTCTTTGCTTGATTCGGTTTCTTTAGACTCTTCATGTAGTGATAGAAAACTTTGGTTTTTTGATTTGTCCGAAATGCTTACTTGTTGCCCTATTTTGAGTGGTTGATTGATGAACCTAATGATTTTATATTTGAACTTAATTCAATCAATTGGAAGGCAAGCGTTCCTGTTATAATTAAGATGCTTGCTTGGATGAAAGCTCGTGTAGAGTGAAAACTTGTGATTTGCTGTAGAAGAAAAGGTCAAACACTTATATGTCTTCTCATTTGTGTGTTCAATGCAAGAATAGCTATAAAAGTGTGGACCATTTATTCCTTCATTGTCCCACAATTCGGTTCTTATGGCGTAGGTTGTTGGTGGAGGTTGGTTTGGTGTGGGTGTGAGATCCCGTGTTTCATTTTATATTAATTTGTTAGTATTTTTAAAATGATTAAAATGATGAGAGTAACTTTGGATCATTGTTGAAGGTATAGTCGTGTAAGTTTGAGTTATGAGCGTATTGACTTTAGGGTCAAATTTAATTTGAGGCATTTAAGATTGATAAGGGTAACTAAGTAAAATTATTAGGTCAAAAAAACATTTCCATTGATCTTGGAGGTCAAGAAACATTGAGATAGAAGTTTACCTCATATAGGGATTCAGAGGGGTAAAATAGTAATTTTGGTGTTTCGGGTGTAAATTGACTTTGATTTTGAGATAAATCATAAAACAAAATGTTTTTAGGTTAAAATAACATTAAAACTGAATCTAGAATGTCGAAAAATCTTAAGATAGTCATAGAGATCAAATTAGGGATATTTAGGGGCAAAATTATAATTTTAAATAAAATGCATTTTTTGACGGGAATTGCTGGGTTTAAAACCCTAAATTCAGCCTATTTCTCTCATTTTTCTCACATCTCTCACCCCAAAACTCCTCCACCCACCTTGGAACTAGAAAGAGAAAGAAGAAGAGCTCTAGGGTTTGGGTTTGTCTTGAGAATCTTGGAGATTAAGCTTGGAATTGTTGATTCTTAGATGGGGTTTTCCTCTCTCTTGCATTTACATTATGCATCTCATGTATTTTCTTTAACTAAAGCTTACTATGTGTTTGATGACAAAATACTTATTATAAACCTTGATTTAGTGTTGAGTATGTCATGGATTGTAAACCTACATGCATAAAAATAATTTTAGTGTTATAAGTTTGAAACCCTAGTTTGATTTTAATAATGAGTATTTGATTAAACTTATGATTTTGGGGTTTTAAAATATGTTATGATTTTGTACATAATATATATAACTTATTCTCTTGGAAATGATTATGTTGCTTTGAAAATATAAATTTTGAGATTTGAGTCTACTACACTTTTGATAAAATGTCAAGGTTATGACATGTGTTTCAAAAGGATTTATGGATATAAAAATTAATGATTTTTGAAAAATATATGCTCGATACTGACAGACAGAGGGTTAGTAGACGGTTAGAGCCTATGGAGTAGATTGTCAAGGCGACTACTAATCTTAAGAGGGATTGATTATGGTAGTGATTTTCAGTGATGACCAATATGGCGTCACAAGTTGTGCTCTACACATTCTCCTTAAAAGTAAGAAGGGCGATGAGACCCTAGGGTGCAAGACCCAAAAGGTTCTTATAGGATGGTTCATGCGTGAACCGGTGTGATTGATTATATTATCTGTATGCGAGACATGTATGGTATTTACTATGATGATTTGACTTTAAATATATAACCCTTTCATTTATACTTGTATATTTCTAATATTGAGGTGTTGGGAGATTTTTATAAATGTTTTATTTATTATCTTGTACCTATATTTAATTATAAAAAATTTTCATTACTTATTCGTATGGTTAATGGAATATTGGTATTTAAAACTTTGTAAATGCTTGAAAATATGATTATTCTACTGAGCTATGGTTGCTCATTCTTTACTAATATTTTCAGAAACTAGCATGCATCCTGGGGCATATGTGATGGAATGCTTGTAGGAACCTGGACTAGAAAGAATCTCTTTTGGAGCCTTTTTGTATTTACCTTTAGAACTTATGTAAAAATGTTAGCACTCAAATATTAGAGTTGAAAAGATTGTCTGAAAACATTTGTGGTGTACACTAGATCATCCCATAGAGGAATTATTATTTGGGGTATTGTAATGTAAAGTTATGACTTTGTATATTAAGTTGTGGTATGTATTAGTATTAGATGTATTCATGTTTGGGAGAATTTTGTGGGCCTCTAATTGTCACCTCGAATTTAGTTGGATTATATTTTTGATGGAAGCATGTTGTGGATGTTTAGTTAGTTTAACTTATATTATGATCTCATAGGGATGTTCTTACTAGCTGGTTGGAAGCTCAATTTTCAAAGAAATTCTTCCCAAATTTTCAAAAGAAAAAATGATTTATTTAAACTAAAGAGATATTTTTCTAAATGTTTTTACAATATACAGGCATGTGTTTTTTAAATAAATAAAATATTTGTTTTAATTATGCTTTTATGAAATTTGGGGCGTGACAGTGGGTAATACGGTTTAATTGTGCTTCTCTTTTGGTAATGTGTTTTAATGGATTTAGAATGGTAAAAAAAGCTTCCATTTTAAGAGATGTGCAATTTTCTAGGTTTTATGGATGGGGATGAATCACAGAATTTTTGAATGAAAGGAGGAGGAAAAAGAATTGTTATCGGATAGAGCGGAGTTCTTGGCTTTTTTATTGGTGGTGGTCACTAAGGAGTTTCACAGAACTCACTGGCAGAACTATGTATGGTCAAGTGTCCTCCCTTAAAAAAAAAAAATTATTAAATGGGTATGTATATTATATATTTGTATAATACATTACTTGTGCTTACCCAAAATCAAAAACAAAAATGCTAGGCCACATT